TTTTTTTCAGTAATGTAAGTAGCAGTAATGCTGGAGAGTATATCTGCACTATGCAGAAGGGCGATCAAGAGAAACGCCTGAAACAGATTATATCGGTAAGTATCACTTTACTACCGCGGTTTCTATGCTGTTCTAGTTTTCTAGTCTTTGACTATTACTGCCTTACCTATAATAAGCCGTCATATTTTCAAGGTAGTAAAGACTGTCAAACCCTATCATGCGCAGTCGGATCCAGAAAAACCGAGGATACTGCACTATGGAAAGTCAGCCGATTTCGATTGCATTATTGAAGGCACACCAAGACCTGATTTCAAATGGTTAGTTTTGAACCGATACTACCCTCCGCTTTTGTAAGGATTATTATTTGCATATGCTCATATAGTTCATAGGTAAGTGCTGTTACTTTAAGTAGTAGTGGTTGGAAGGTTTTGTCGATCAGCTAGGGCTGTGCTACTGGAGTTGAGGGTATGCCTTCGGGAAGAAGGTTGTACATAATCATTGAGTCAGGGTTTTTTCTTTCAAGAAGAAACTTGTATTCGAGTGTTTGCCTTGTTGTATCTGAAGAATTCTTGATAGCCTTTTGTGCCCTCTCTCTTTCCCTGACCAGTGCATTTTTGGAAGTTTGTGTTGGTAGTAATCTGCGGTGAAACTGAAAAGAGTCACACCGACAATTGCTCTACATCAGTCTGAGCATGAGATTTGTTGAGATCATCGAGTCAACAGGCGTCTCGAGTGAAACAAGCTAATCATTCCGTAGTATTCGATTCAGCTTCATCTGGCTTTATACATGTCTTCCTTCCTAGTTAGATTACTCTTACCGATGTTATTCACGAAGGGTAGCTGGTTAGCATGAAGCGAGGAGTTGACCCTCAGCTTATGAGGTTGTGATGCGCCTCCATCTATAGACGAGAAAGAGCTAATTTTTGTTTCAACTTTATTTCAGAAACTTGACTGTACCTTGAGTTTCTCCTGCCTTTTTACGCCTTGTGCTGTATCTATAAATTTTCTTGGAAAAAAATATAATCAATCAGGTTTTCGTGTGAAACAGGAACTATTTTGAATAATGGTATACTTCTTATTGTATACACATTCATTCAAATTCTTACGCATTAATTTCGTGTCAAAAGAACTACATTGAAGAAAGTGTTCTTTAAGAACTAAAAGTCATTAAATAATGGCTCAAGTAAGTCAAAAATCAAAAGCGTAGTGACTTGGAATTGCTGTATAATATCAACTATTTCAGGCTGAAAGATGGCGAACCATATGAAGGTGGTGAACTGTCAGCGGACAATCGACATCTTCATATTGCCAGAGTAGCAGCCGAAGACAAGGGAGAATTCGAATGTGTAGCTACAAATCGGGC